AAAATAAAAAAAATTGGCACATAAAGTGGACGACCCTCTCAAGGGGACGTGTGACCTATAATGGACCCCAAATGTAGCCTCATGTGGGGGCCACACGTATAGGGATTGGGCCCTTAGCCCCATCCTTAAGGGTCCCAAACACAAAAAAGAGAAATTCATAATTACCCTCATTTTTCAAAATTATAAATATACCCTTTTTTTAGTCAAAAATTAATTTTTCAATTATGAAAAATCATAAAAAATCACAAACATATTTTTTTTGGCTGAATGCAACATTTTCATGGGGGCTGGGGGATATAAAAATCAAAAACACTCAGAAATGCCTAATAAAAGTGGATTGGCACCATACACGTAAAACCAAGTAAATGTTAGGGCACTCCACCATTGTTAAGAATCATGATCCTTAATTGTCTTCTCAAACTAATCCAACAAGGATCGATGATCACAATCAAATGCAGGGGCTCGTGATGGCCAATCAAAATTAACCAATAAACAACGAAACTACAATCCTATTATGTAGATTATAGGTTATCTCCTAATAGCAAGTTAGATGCACACATCACTATAATGCAAGGGGCGCTCTCGCTTTGTACATGTACATGGGTCCCTCTATATAGGGTTGCTTGCCAAAAATATAGTTGTCATATGTATTGTCCAAAAGTTTTTTTTTTTAGGATTTGACCCTCGATCTCACAAGTCCTTTTGCATACAAGAGAAAACACAACTCCAATAGCCAATAAACATCATCCATGAGCTCCTCTCCGACCTCAACAATAGATAACTTTTTATAAAAATCTCAACGGTAGTGCCATATGCCCAAAGATAATGATTTTTGACATGACTCGGCCCGTAAATCACCTAACTTTAGGTCAGTCAAATACAACACACTCCCACTGAAGTGTATATTCCACTATAAATAAATTTATTTACATATTCTCCAAGCCTTTAAGGGCCACAAACCTCAATAGGCCTGCCTAAGCCCGGCCTGACCCTAATCATGCCAAAGAGGATCTGGTCTAGACGCGTCTTACCCGTTGGGTCGGGTCAATGAACCATTCCGACTTGGCTGAGGCTCAATCCAGTCCTACCTTAGAGCCATGGTTTCACAACCCTGCCTTGTCCTTCCAGACACATTATGTGGCCCAGGCCCTAATTTTGCGGTAGAGGTGACTGGGTCGAGCCACCAGCGCCATTGCCACCTCTATTTTCACATGTCGTCTATTGCCATGATGTTTAAATTGTTGTAACATGTTCTTTTCTCTATTCTAATTGCAATATGTTATATATTTCTTATTATCACGTCACTAATTACACATTTAGGGTTGGCAATGGGCCTGTCTTGGACAATGCCATGCTTGACCCTCTTGGCCCTAGCCCAGCCTTACTCTTTATAGGGCCAGCTTGAGCTCATCTTGGCACATACTAGGCTAAAGATGTCTGTATAAAATCAGCAAGGGGAGGAAGCATAAATTATTATTGTGCATCCAAATCACACAAACAAGCAATAGGGATTCTCATTACAATAAAAATCACAATACAATAAAGCATGGAAAATAAATCAACCATAAAAAACACAAGATTTTACATGGTTTAGCCACAAATCGTGACCTATATCCACGAGAGAATGGTGCGAAACTTTATTTACTGATTCAAAGGAGGTGACAATAAAAAAATAAGGCTCAAAAAACGTTCAAACAAAATGCTTTTTCTATCTATAAAGACTTTTTTTACAGCACAACCAACAAAATCCAAGTGCAATAGGTTCCTCTTTCAAACTTTCTATCACTATAACATGGCCTGCAATAAACCCGCAAGAGAACTTACACTCTTACACACTTAAAAAAAAAAAAAAAAACATTAAACAAAACTGGGTATACAACAACCTACCAGAGGAGTTCCAAGGTTAATCACTCTCTCTCTAAACAAAAAGGTTTCAATCCAAGAATGATGTCTTTACAAAATCACGCTTAATTAATTTCAATCCAATGACTCAAAACAAAAGTGGGAAAAGTGGGAAAAATTAACGGATTATTCACAGACGTGCCACTTTGGCGCCTATGTGATTTGGTTCAACCCAGGGTTTGAAAACTCGTCGAGTCGAGTCGGACTCGCCCGGTTCGACTCAAAAATCGCCTGCACCCGAGCCGGTTCCACGAAAAAACCGGGAATCGCCTGTGTCTAGAGAGAACCAGGCGATTCCCAATAGTGAATTGCGAGTCTTACACGTGGCCGCCTCACAGGAGCAACACGTGGCACCTAAAAAACCTCCACGTAACTCACCTCGCATGTCGGCCCCATCGCTTCCTACACGCGCAGTGGAATATCTATTACACATGAATATATAAAGAACAAAGCAACGCTCATCCTTCGATGTGGGATAATTCCCACAAAAAATCATTAAAGCAAGACGATTTAATATATATTATTATAGAAGCTAATATATTCACATTAGGAGATATGGCGGTGTTGGTTGACATCTCTGATTTTAAGGGGGAGGTATAGAGTTCGAACCCCCCTTAGTGCGCGAGTTCTTGTTTTTGTTGTCAAAAAAATAAACAAAGCGAGTTCTTGTTTTTGTTGTACAAAAAATAAGCAAAGGCAGAAAATACTGTTATAGAAAAATAGAAAAAATAAAAAGTGAAAGGCTTTCTAAGATATAGATAAAAAAGATAATACAACATTTTTTTATTTTTCTTGTCAAAAAAAATACAAAGTAATATAAAAAGTATTTCTTGCAAAAAAATAAAACAAAAGGCATAAAAAAGTAAAATGTACTTTGGCATCATCATTTTTTTATTTTTCTTGTAAAAATAAATAAAAAGTAATACAACAAGTAAAAAAAAGTGTAGTACAACATCTTCTTTTTTTGTCAAAAAAAAAAGAAGATAATCAACAAGTATCATATATTTCCTGTAAAAAAAAATAAAAAATAACACAATAAGTATTTATTGTCAAAAAAATAAAAGGTATTTCTTAATACAACCTAGGAATAAATGGTCTGATTATATTTCTTATTTTTATAACATGATGGTCTTTAACATAAATTTAGTAATATTAATTTAAAGATAGAATTCATACAATGAGGCCATTTGAAATCTATCTCTTGCTACTAAGTAGTACCACTAATTTATTCTAGAAACCTAAAAAATTAAAGAAAATTGATACGTATTCTAATAATTTCTACATTGATAACAAAATCTTTTATTTTATTTATTAATTTTTGTATTATAAATCATATAGTGTACTATTTTTATTACAGTTGTCAATAATACATTTTAAATTAGATGATATTATAAAATATTTTAGATTTGTTATTATTTATGTAATAAAATAATTATAAAATATTGTTGGTATATAATATTATAGTTAGTTAGGTCGTAATAATTTGGGCTTTTTTAATGGATTAGGGTTTTCCGCCAATTCGCGCTTTTAGTGACCAATTTTTCATCGATTTAGTCAACTATTTATTGTAGTCCATACGTGATAATTCTATGATTTCTTTTGTGTGATGTAAATTTAATGGTCAACATAAGTTCATATAGATAAAAAACATTTCAATATTTATAAATTGATGAAAGCAATGAACGTTAATAATGTAGTACCCTTATTTTTTATTCGATTCCTAAAAAAAATATTTATAATGAATTTTAATAATTTTTTTGAATTTTTTTAATGTTTAATCCGAGCGATTTGGCCCGATTCTCGATCCGGATCGCCGATTTGCCGATCCGGATCGGTTTTTGGGATGTCCGATACGGGTCACCGATCCGTTTTTTAAACCACCGGTTCAACCCATATATAACAAAAGAGACCCTGGTCTAGGCCGAGCCACATGCACTAAAAAAAACAAAGAAAAAAAAAGAAGAAGATAGGGCCGGGCCTGAGCGAAGACCAGGGCGACGGTATGAGAATGGGACACTGGTTGGCAGCACTCGTCATCTTTCTTGTGAACTAAGAACGCACACGAGTGAATAAAAGACGCATGCCAGCCGTCCGCAGTTGGTTATTAACGGACGCGATGACGTATTTGCGGTTCAGTAACTACACGTGCCAGAAAACAATGGAGGAGGTAAGTTTGGAAAATTTATCAATGGTAAAGGGCAATTCGCCTCAAAGTCTTTCCACTGAGTTGGTGACATCACGAATGATGACATCTTCTTATTATTATTTATTATGATGATGATGTTTGAATATTTTATTAATTCAGTATTAGGTTTTTAAATTTGTCAACTTTGGAGGGTGTGGTTTTTGATAAGGTTGCAATTTTAAACAATCAAATTAAGGTGCGCCTCCCATTTTTATCTGTAATTTTGATGTAAGATTTTATTAGGCTTATTTGAAAATTTATTTTCATATCTAATTATAAAATTATAAATTTTAAAAATAATTAAAATGAAGTAGATCTACAAATATATGAAAATCTTGAAAATAAACGGTCTAGATAATGTGTTATAAGATGCACTAATTTCGAGACTCAAAATCTTTTTTTTTGTCATATTTGTACATCTCTATATTGAGACGATCAACTAGACGGTTTTTCAACATTAAAACAATATTCTCCAATAAATTTTGGAGGTGCATATGTATTTCTACATTTTAGGATGCAACCTTAAATAAATTTTCCATAATTACTTAGCTAAAAGATATCTATTTTCTAGTTTTCTTATTGGTTTATTGGTATCGTTCATGATAACTTTAAGAACTTCCCTATCATCACTATTTTGTTTTGTTTTCTTTTATCAGCATTTTGAATCGTATCATTTTGTCTATGCCCTTGTTAATTCATTATTTTATGATTTATAAAGGTATTGAATTAAATTTAAAATTTTTTAATTGATATAATTTACTTTTTTAATATACTTTTTTCTGGGGAAATTTTTGCAGGGAACTGGTTATCTATTGATTGAAATTTACACATATATATACAAATAAGTGAATAACTGCGTTTCACACTACCATAGAAACTTCAAGGTTTGCTAATTTCAGGTTATTTATTTATTTATTTTGTGTGATTTTCTCTTCGATTTTCTGTTATTGAATTTATAAATTGTTTGATTTTAGAGTTTTTTTGTGTGAATGTTTTTAAAAATTTAGTCTTTTGAACTGGGTTGCTCCGAAACATTGATGTCCCTATGATATTGAGATTAAGATCTTTTGTGAATTGGGGCTATTAAGACCATTTAAAAAACCTAGATTTTGAAAATTGCTGTTTCTCATGATTGGAAGATTACCTGAACCACATGAAAGACCCAGGTTTCGTGAAAATTTAGAGTCTCTCCACTTGAATTTTGGTTTTTCATAACCATCTGGAAAACATAGGTTTTTGAAATTATTGTATCGTGTGAAACATGGATTTCCTATGATTTGAAAACCCCAATTTAATGAATTTATAATGAAAGAGTCATTTGAAAACCATGAATTTTAGGAAACTCAAGGTTCTTTTGAGTAAGCGCTTGATTTATTTATTTATTATTATTATTTTCAGTTACACACGAAGAATTGGGAATTTCAGAACCATTTGAAAGGAATCTATTTTAGGAAATTTTCGGAAATGAGTTATGATTTCAGGAACCACTTGATATCCAAGATTTGGCAAACGTTATCTTGAAAATAAGATTTACTTTTGCTTTTGAGAACCTTAAAGTAAGAGAGAGAGAGTTCTCCATATTTGATGGACCTAAGGTGTTTACTCATTTGCTTGGGATAAGATACCCTTCTTATTTTTTATTTTTTATTTATTTGTTTTTCAGAAACATTTACTTTCAAATATTAGATATTATGTACTCTTTCTTCTTGGGAATTATATTGATGAGTTACAGTTACACTGTTGATTGGGTTTGAGAGTTTTGAAACCCCAAAACTTGAAACGTGCTGATTCTGGTTCATCTATCCCTGTGATCCTTTTCTTTGGCACATTGTTTTGTGTTCATTTTTTATTTTTTTATAGAATTGGGTTTGAGAGTTTTGAAACCCCGAAACTTGAAACATGCTGATTCTGGTTCATCTATCCCTGTGATCCTTTTTCCTCGGCACATTGGTTTGTGTTCATTTTTTATTTTTTTATAGAATATTACTTGGAATATCATCTAGTATATATATATATATAGAGGGTTATGTTAGGGTGCTGGAGTAATTTTTTTTTAGAAAGTAACGGTATTTTTTTTAGTTATGTTTGGTATCCAAGATTTCTGAATTGACTGTTTCTCTTTTGGTTTGAAGCTTTTATCCTAAAGCATGCGTTTTTTTATGATGCTTGTTCATGTCCTCAGTGGAATAATTTACAATTTCCATGCAATTAAGCCGGATTTTTTGAGTTAACGATGTATACGATGCTCATCAAGGCCTCTGGTGGGTTTCATATGGCTGTGACATCCTCTAATTCGTCTTTCTTATAATTCTGGATGCATTTCCATAGCCCTCTACATATAATATATGATTTCTTGGTTTCTATAATTCATACAGGGTTTAGGTAGCTTTGCTACAAGTCATCCATTCTCATAGTCATTGTATCCCAAAACTCAGGATTTTGTTAATTTGCAGTTTTTATGCAATTCAGGTTTGTTGGAAGTTTAAATCATCCCTTCTTGTAGTCATTGTATCGAAAATTCAAGATTTTGCAAATTTGCAGTTTTATGCAATCCAGGTATGTTGGAATCTTGGGTTTTAGGTTGAGCTATACTTGTGAAATTTAATTGACTGATGTACCTTAAAATTTCCCCATTTGGAGAAATAGGCCTGGTTTTATATTTTATTATTTCTTCAAATTTAAAATTTCTTTGAATCCACGATTCAAGTGATGCATTCAGGATTTTGTGGAAAGAAAGCTTTTTTTATTTATTTTAGGGGACTCCAACCTTAGATTTGATGATTTGCAGCACCTTTATTGGTTTCAGGGTTTCTTCTAAATGTTTGGGTGTATTTGGCTTTGATGACTTCTCCAATTGTTTATCCAGTGTTTACAGTCTAAATGTGGTCTATTTCATAAATCATATGTTGAATTCTTTTTTATTAGGGGGTGATTTTGGCAAGAATGGCATCTTATTCAATGGAAGAGTTTGTTGGAGATGGTGTTCTGAAAGATTTGCTTCCTATGCTGATCGCTGATGGATGGGATGATGTTCCCACACTGAAGATGATGAATTCTGAAGACATGGATTCCATGAAAATGTCCCAGAGGCAAAAGGTTATACAAAGCCCTTATTTGTTATCCATCTTTTTTTTTATTATCTATGAAAATAATTGTTCTTTTCCTAGTTCAATTTCACTTTTCGGATGCTTTGATAGCAATGTTGTGTGCAGTATACAGGTAAAAACTTCCATAAACATGTCTTTTTGCAATGGTTGCTCTACTGTTTCTGATTATTGGGGCTTTTATATTCAATTTTAGAGTATGGCTGGCCTTTTTATGACTCATTTGGAGTATTATTTCCAGAAACAATAATTCTTCTCTCTTTTTTGGATTTTGATGCGCATTTCCAAATTGATAGTATTTCAGGATCAGACATCCCACTTCTCATTTTGGCAAAACTTTTCATAAACTTGTATTGATTCCTTCTTCTTCTTTTTTTTTTTGTTTTGTTTCTTTCCCCCTCTTTAGGATGCATTGGAACTTAGGTCTTATTTGCATGATCGTTCTTTAATGCAATATGGGGAGAGGCTCGAAGCATCAGGACTGACTCTTCCCAAGCTTCTTAACTCTAGCACTACAGTACTCTCCTCTCAATTTGGCATGAAGCGAGGCCACATCACTCGATTTATTGATAGGTCACTCGCTTGTGGAATTGCCATGCCCCCTTCTTCTGCTCTCCCATTGAGGAAAAGAACCACGTCTTCTCTCTCCAAAAATGTTGATGCTAGTGAAGCCATGTCCAGTAATTTTCCAGGAAGAACACAGAGTACTGTCTCCATGAACCAGGATTCGAAGTCCCAATATACGGTTTCAGCTTCTTTTGGGGTCAAAGGGGAGCGTACTTTTAAAGGGGTCGTTGCTTTTGCACCTGCTGAGCCTAGGTGTTGTGGGCTTGTACAACCTCCTCCTGAACTTGATAATGTTGCTCCATATTCCATGTTAGAGAGCATTTCAATTCAGAAACTGACCCCCGAGTATAAGATGGGTATGGAGCCATTGGTGAAATTGAAGGCCCCACCCATGAAGGCTTCAGAGCTCTGGCATGATATACCAACAGTATTGCTTTGTCTCAGACGCCCTGGGTAATGCATTATTGGTTGTTTTCTCTGATCATGTTTTCTTTGAAAGCAATATTTCTGTAGGAATTTAGACTATACACTATGTGTATAGTGTGTTTAGTATAAGCTTATCACCACGTCCATCCTCTGTGAAAGACAGTTGAGATGAAACTTCCTTAGTGGGTGAGGCTATACTACAAACACTGTGGAAAGTGTTTACAGTATACTTTCCCTCTTTCCTTATTTTTCATTTTTCAGTTTCAAGCTGTCTTGCTTGTCCATTAACAACTGGTTTTGGTCTCAGATATAAAAAGGATGAGTAACTCGTTTCAACAATCTTGTTTTTTTCCTTGTTATTACATGATTAATTGGGTGGCCATTCACAAGTTATTTCTATCATGCATGTGCCCATTTTCCCCTTAGCATTGCCATGTGCACGTCGTAAATGTATATATCGAAATCAAGTTTTATTCTAGAAACTTGTCAAAAATTCCCAGCTTGTCTACGTCAAGCGTATCCCTGTCATTTACTAGTTTGAGGGTTATAGACTATAGTAATGCTTCTCCAATTAATGAGAAGAAATTTTGTTCACCATGTCGTACAGGAAACAATAAATAGCTCGTCTAATTCATGTAAATCCTAATAAAAGTACTGTACTATAAGTGGGTGGCAGCATTGCTTGTATCATATTCTTGATTGAGGAATAATTAAGGAATAATGGTGGGTGCATTAGTCGAATTTGAAGATAGTACAATAGGCATTGCTTCAAATTTGGAATCCAATAATATTGATGTTGTACTTTTGGGTGATGGCTTAATGATACAAGTGGGCGTTTCTGTAAAAGCAACAAAAATAATTGCTCAATACCAGTGAGTGAGGCTTTCAATCATTTTAAGCAAGGAACCGCTGAACTCATTCATCTGCCATTTTTACTCTTAAGTTTTTTGTAAAGGTTTATCCCATAGAGGCACTCAAATTGGAGCAGTGATCGGTTTGTTGTTTTCATCGTAATTACTTCCAATACGGAAATCAATGGTTCAAACTTCACTCAAAGGAAGAGCACTGTTATCTCCAATGCAACTCTGGAAAAGTGAACATCATAATGAGATTTATCTTGATAATTTTTCTAAATCTTTTTAAGACGATCAAGAATTATTCACATCACATAAAGCATTAACTTTTTAAAAGAAATGACTATAGTTATTCTATGTTATAGTCAATTCTATTTTTGCCTTGGAATTCTCAAGGATTTTGCATTATTGGATTGTTGATTAGTTTCAAATTGCCAAGTCAGGGATTTATTCACCCGCTATATTTTAGCCAACCAAATATCAACTAATCTCAACTTATAGAGTTTTTTTTTAATTAATTACTCATGTTACATATCAATGTTTCAGATGTGTCATGTGTAGAGCTGAAGCTCACCAGCTTTATGCTAGGAAACCAATATTCGATGCACTGGGTTTCCGGCTGATTGCTGCTTTCCATGAGCAAATTGACTCAGAGGTACTCTGTGGCACTATGGTTACCCCTCTCTTTGATGAATTGAGTTGAACTCGGGTTTGCATATTGATTTTCCTGCCATCTCAGGTGAACAATTTTTGGCCTCGCTACTGGGGTGGGATTGTAGTCTTGGACAAAAGCATGGGTTTCTTCAAAGCTCTTGGAGGTGGTAAGCTGCTGAAAGACCAGTTTGTGACTGGATTTCTTTGCAATCCTCGTGCCATTGCAAATTATAGGCGTGCTAAAGCTATGGGTGTGGAGAATAATTTTAATGGAAAAGGAGAAATCAAAGGTGGGTTATTCATAATTGATAGTGGGAAAAGTGGAATAGCATATCAGTTTATGGAAAGAAATTTCGGGGATTGGGCACCCATCAATGAAGTTCTTGAGATTTGCAGCAGAATGCAGGTATAGACTGCTTGCTTTTGCTGAATGGATTTCTTCTACTTGTCCTTGTGCTTATGGAGAAATTCTTTAATGTTTCTTGGTTTTCTGGTTTTAGTACTCCTTGAGTAGAATCAGGATTATTACCTAGATAAAATCTTCAGTAGATGGGATTTGTTTGATATATTGTTTTGCTGCTTTTATATGGAACTAGTGTTCTTCCCATTGGCTTCAAATTATATGAAATGAGTGACATCTTTCCTAAGATTTATGCTACCTTACGGTTCTTATTTAATGAATTTTCAATGACCAAGCTACCTTGGCGCTCCACTCAAGACTAGATACGATCTTTTGGATTGGTCGCCGTAGAATCCTCGTTGACGATTTTAGCAGAATTACCCATGATACCTGTAATTTCCTTCTTTGGTAATATTGTCAAGAACATGTTTATCTTTTGCTGTGTGTATAGAAGATTTTTTGAGGATGCTAACAAATTTGAAGGAGTTTTACATCACGTGAATTTTTTTGTGAGCTGCTACTTTTTGTGCTATTGAGATCCAAGCTACCATTTTTACGCTTGATTTGAGCTACAGGTCAGCAGATCTGCAGCGATGGTTGGGCCGACGCTGTCTCAACATCCTTGTCTTTATTTATAATATTTGTAAACTTGGTATTAATTGTATTAACAATAAATTTAGTGCTTCTATATTTCTTGTAAACTTTATTATATAAGTATAGCTTTATATTTTCAAGGAAATGCAGACAAAAGAAAAAAAATGATTGATGTTGGGAAATATATTTCTTTGAAAATGTTGCGATATTTTTGTTAAGTTTTGTGATAAATGAAATATTTGTCATATAAATAAAAAAGAAACCAATTGGCTGCTGCAGAGATTGCAATCGTCCTTGTTGATGTTCAACTTTTTTTCAATGCGTTGATCTACATATTGAAAGGTTATGTTTATTGTCGACATGCTAAGGAGTGTGATTCCGAAACTTGGGTGTAATATGTGGTTTCGTCTATAATATGTTGATTTTATTTTATGCAGAAACAAGCATCTGATCAGGAAGCTGGACCCTAGAGGGACCTGAGGCAAATCTGTAACCAATACTTGTGTACAATATTCAATTTGTTCTTTGTAATTGAATAATTTTTCTTTTTTTAAGTTTTTGTTGTGCGTGTTTCTCTGATAAAGCATAGCGTGATAATATGTAAAATGGATCTCACATTATTTGATTGCCCAAAAACATATGAGTTCACATGTATCTCCACATCCCTTTTATTTACTGAAGACTTGCAGTGAAATTCAACCTTCACGCTCATAATCTTGCAAGTAAGAGAGAGAGAGAGAGAGAGAGAGAGACTATTTGAATGAAAAGCTTATAAGGAACTAGTTCAGAACGCGTTATTTGATTAAACAATAGGACAATAGGGCTTTATACTTTTGTGTAAATAATTATAAAAGGGAAGTGTTGAAATGAAGAAGGTATCTCAGGGACTGTTGATGAGCATTAAATTAGAGAAGAAAACTATCAAAGGCTTCGAAGTCGGGAGTAGAGTCTCTCTCTTGAAAATGTTTGCATATAGTTTGTCTGCAAAATGTTTTTTCCAGTACATTACTTTTAAGAGCAATAAATCAAACAAATCAGAAGCTTGTCAAAAACCCTTACGGTGCTTATCAAGCTAAATGTATTTCACTTGGATTCATGAACATTAACAAATAAGAATTGGTACTTCTAATTATCCACCATGCTACACAAATCACAGCCATCCGAGTTATGTTATGCTTTATAGAAAAGATTCATCTGCACTGTCATAGTGCTCAAGAGATCGAGAGAAGAAAACTTCGAATTGAGAAAATTATTAATTTCCAAAATAAGTTAATGATACATTATTATCTTTTTTAGGTATATGGCCAACACTTCAACACTACGATACAGTGAAGAGAATCACCAGAAATCCCCATAAGAACATAGCCCTCCCTCAAACCGATGAAATCGAGCTGCATCTCTCACTAGAATTTCTCTCCTGGCTATCTTGGATATGAACTGTAGCAGTGTGACACTCACCACCACTTTTAGGTTCTTCACAATTCTAATAGGCACGCCCTCATGCAAAAAATCAGCTCAAAAGCTATTGCCAATTTTTCACTATGGTGGCCATGCATCTCCTCTTTCCTCTCATCCTACATTATGGAGCACGGAGTTCAATTCGGGAACATATCCCACATCCTCCATTCACTCCCTAAGCTTCTCCAGCTCTCTACATATCTGATCAGAAGATGGGTGAGTTCTATCATCAGCCATAAAACAATGAACTTGGTTCTTGTACTTGATACAGCTAAAACCAGGCTCTTTTCTCACTTTTCTCTCTCTCATGCCTCTTCTCACACTAGCCACTCTCTCCCGCTGTCCCAATTTCGCATATAGACTTGAGAGGAGAATATAACATGCAGGGTTATTGGGCTCTAGCTTTAGAAGAGACTCCACAGCCCATTTTCCAAGAGTGAGATTTCCATGGAGTCTGCATGAGCTTAGAAGAGAAGCCCAACCAGTTGCATCAGGTGGAAATGGCATCCTTTTAATGAATTCTCCAGCTTCTTTTAGCTTTCCAGCCCTTCCAAGAAGATTAATCATACAAGTATAGTGGTCAGAAGAAGGAGAGATACCATGGTCTTTGATCATGGAATCATATTATCGAATTCCTAATTCAACTAGGCCTTCTCTACTACAAGCTGAGAGAACAGCCATGAAAGTTACACCATCTGGTTTGAGATTGGTACTTCACATTTTTATCGTATAACTCTATGGTTTCTTTAGCATTTCCTTCTTGTGCATAGCCTGAAACCAAACCGTCCATGAAACTTGATCTCTCACCACCATTAGATTGAACATTTTTTTAACTTCTTCGATGCTCCCGCACCTTGCATGCATAGTTACTATGGCATTGGCCACTGTGAGAAAGGAATTCAAGCTTACGATCACTGATTTACAATGAAATTGAGAGCATCCTTCCATTGAGGCAAGACTACCAGAGGCACTAATAACACTTCCTAGAGTGTAATCATCAGGTTCGATCCCATTTCTCTGTAATTCACAAAACAATCTCATGGCTTCTTCATTATTTTGAGCATAACCCACAAGAGATGGCAGTCCAAGATTTACATTCTATTGGGGAATTTGAGTAAAAATGGTTTCTGCACTTTTAATAGCCCCAGACTTCGACTGCATGTCCACTAGAGCACTACCAGCAAAGAGATTAGACTGCTAATTTGTTTTTATGATATGGGCATGGATCTCTTTGCCTTGATTTAAGGCCATCAGAGCTCCAAATGCAGTTAAAACACTCCCAAAAGTGAACTGACGGAAGCTGAATTTGCAAATTTATCCCCCTAAAAAGCTCGAGAGCCTGTCCAGAGTGCCCATTTTGCATGTATCCAGTGATCATAAAGGTTCAAGCAACCGAATCTCTCTCTCTGGCATTTTATTGAAGACCCTCTTAGCTTCTTCGACTGTCCTACACTTGCAGTAGCTAGTAATCGTGTTGTATAACTCATCTAATACCCGCCTAGCCCCTTCCAGGTTAGAACATCTTACAACATATCGATCAATGAACTGGTTACAACAGGATTGGATTCAAAGCCAATTCTGATAATCTGGCCATGAATCAGAAAGAGAGAGAAGGTTATCCTGTTGGGTGTTTGGTAATTATGTAACATCTCTTGAAAAACGTTTATGGGGGTTTTTCCATCACCCCAATTCGCATAACCAGACATTCCAAGAAACACTATCGGCATCAATTTGAAGAGGTTTTCCATCTCTCTAAGGAAATCCCATTTTGAATAACCAGTTATCATGGAGTAAAATGAAATGAGATTTTTGTGGGGCATTCGGTCGAACACTCTTCGAGCATAGCATAAATTGCAAGACTTTGCATACAGGTTTATGAGCTTGTCGGTTAAGAAAGTGCGTATTTTCCATGGTTTTGAGAATGAGGCAATGGGGCTTCTTGCCATGGTGGGACTCAGAAGGGTCCAGAGGAGAGGCAGGCTGAGAGGTTGATCGTGGAGATTTGCAAATAGGGCTGAGAATTTACCCTATCCGGATTACGATCTTATTTGAATTTGGGTATGGATCCAAAATTTGGATTTGGATCCAAAATTTAGATCCAAATAGTATATCAGATTGATCGGATCCGGATCCAGCCCACTTTTTAAAACAATATATATATATATATAGTTATTATTTTATATAATATATACAATTTTTTACACTTTTAAAAAGACCTAATATGGATCTTATGTACCCGGATTGGATCTAGATCTTATGTATAGTTTTGGGATGTGGATCCGAGAATTTCATAATCCTATTGGTTTTGAATATGGATCCCATATGTATTTGGATCCAGATTGAGACCCGATTAGAAAAATTCTCAGCCCTATTTGTAAGTTGGGTTTTTGAGGTGAGTAAAGGGATGATGTTGATGGTGGAGTTGATAGAGGGATATGAGGTTCTTTGCTGGTGGAGAGATGCCATTGTGAGGCATCCTCTCTCTCCTTGAATATAAGCTTCACAACCGAATGTTCTCAAATGAACATATAATACACTTTTATCTCCTAAAGAATTTAGGTATTGCACCATGGGTGCACTAAGAAATCTATTGATTAAATATACAACTGTATTAACAGCTTTAGCCAAAAATTGCATTCCAGGACCTGATTGTGAAAGCATGCTTCTTACACGTTCAATAATGATCCTATTCATCCTCTCAATAACATTATCATGTTGTGGTGTTATAGGAATAGTCATTGCTCTGCGAATTCCATTCTCTCTAAAAAAACATCAAAATCATTTGAGCAATATTTACCATTATTATCAGTTTGCATACATTTACTAAATCTTTTGATTTCTTTTTCAACCTCGTCGTTAAAATTTTAAAAAAATTTAAAACTGAACCTTTAGATATCAAATGATACAACCAACGCTTTCTAAAATAATCATCTAAAAAAATAATAATCACCTAAAAAGGTGATAAAATAAACTCCACTAAGAGATTTCACATCAACAAGGTCACAAACATCATAGTATATCAATTCTAAGCTCTACTTTCTCTACATGATTTATTTTTTTGAAAGCTAACTCTACATTGCTTACCTGTGGCACAATGATCACAAAAATCAAGAAATGAATGTTTAGAAATAAGCATAAGATTTTGATTTTATAATATCTTCATATCATACTCACTGAGATGACCTAACGGTTTTGCCAACTCTGCATATTATCATGCTT